AAGTGGGCGGGGTGACTTGCCTATCCCTCCTGCAATGAAACGAGACCTGACTCACAAGAGGAAGTGGGACTTGGGAGGTCTCGCCTCGATGGGGAGAGCGATTCTGCTAGCGACGACGGTACTGATTCTGCTGCGCCGCCGGGTGTTGAGGTAGAACTGGCTGTGGATTCTGCTATAGCGGAGGGAACTGCTGCTAATACTATTATTGGTAAAAGTGATGGAGGACGTGTTGCTGATAGTGCTGAAACTGCTGGACCTGTTGCATTTGGACCTGAATGGCTCGAACGCAATGTACCAGGTTGTCAAGTTGGGGTTGCCCGACTCCAAGGGGAACCATAGATGGTCAGTGAATGTCGCGCCGAATATCGGAGGGAATGGCACGTTCACTTGTGAAATCGCTTGGGGCATGGTCAGCATTGGGACCCCAGCCGCAGTAAGCGGTATGGTAAACTGACCTATGCAAACAGACGGGATCTGAGACTACCCCCGGAGACGTTCGCCTCGTTGTTTTGTCCGGCGTTGCTGGAGGAAGCCATGGATTTGATTATGTTACTGATGGTGGAGAAAGGCTTTTTGTAGCATTTCCCACAAACGATGCCAAATGATGTTGCGCAATCTTGGTGCTCCCTACTAGAGGTGATCTGGCTTCCAAGCGGACGACGGACTAAGTTGATCTGCAAGAGAAGGATCAGAGAACCCAGGGTTGCTAGCCCGACAAGGTCGCTCCGATGCTTAAGTCTGTAAACTGGTAGCGAGCTAAATAGCTTAAGGATGTAGGAGAGCTAGAAAGCAGAGAAATCACACATACCTTGAACCTCTGGGGGTGGAGCCTTTATATAGTCGAGTCCTCGTGGGTTTCGCGGATTAGTTTCGGGATCTTTGTCACGATAGGACCCATTTCCGCATTAGTTGGAAGATAAGGTTGCCAACCGATAAGGTTCATCACTTTCACCCGAATCGGTCGGGGAGATAATGCTAGCTGTTATGCGGCGTGATCCCATGAGGCCCGGGATCCGTTGGAGGGGTTTTCGGGATCACCACGTAGTGGCATGTCGGTATCCCCGAACTGATGTCTTTAAGTCCCAAACTGGGTTGAGTGCCGAAGTGCCTTGGCATCGAGGTGTTCTTGTTGCGATCTAGTACTGAAGCAATCTCATCTCGAGGTGGCCTTGTCCCGAGGTCACTTTAGCCCGAGGTGGTTGGTTACCCGAGCTCGATCTGCTGCGAACTGGTTATGATAAGCTGAGTTGTCACCTCTTGATCAGGTTGTGTCCACGTGTCCCCTCTTTACTAGGTCGGACCAAACCACCCTTCATTAGTTGCGAGAAACCCTTGGCTCACCAAGTTCAGCTAACACCCGAACCTAAATAAACCACAAAAAGACCCATCTGAGAGATCCAAACACACCTAAGTGTGCGATGAAGCCACACCTGCTATAACATGCGGTGAACTCATAACCTGCAAGCCTGCTTTGTATAATAGGATAGAAAGGACAGTAGGTCGAGCCCACGGCGAGGCCTGTGTGTGCCCAAATACACACGAACCCAAGACAACAAAAGACTTTGCAAGCCGCCATGTAGAACTGACGAAGTGCCGACCACCGAACGGTGATGTCATTGTTGCCACATAGGATTAGTTATGATGCACAAAAAGGTAGTAGCACACGTGAGTAATAAGGAATCTCAATGATAAGGAAAGTAAATCCTTGAGTAGATCCTCATGAAACATGTGGCGATACCTCAGTAGTGCACGTAATGATTGACAATGAATCAAATATTCCCTTCCCCGGTACGGAGCGAATATCTTAATCTCCTACCTTTTAGGATCTGGGGTCCTCCTCCATAAATAGATACCCTCTTCACATTAGAACTCATACGATCCTAAGCATTTGTTACTGGTACTCTCGAGTATCCACGACCCTCTCATTTCCTAAGCCTTTTACCTAAAGACCTTCACATTGCCTCACTCCCGAGGCTTCTCTTCGTCTTTCAAAGAGACGACTCCCCAACCTAGCCTTACATCCCCATCCTACACCAAAAGTTGCTAGGTTGGTTGAGAAGCAAAAATGGCTTGCTAGGTATGGATTAATTTTTGTGTAGTCATTCATTTATAGGTTTTTGGTTTTTTTTCTTGTTTACTCACCTTAGTGTAATTGTTAAATTGAAGGAATTGCCAAGTCTTGAGGTCCGAGGAGTTAGAGTATGAAGTGCAGTATAACGGTATATGGGAGTATGTTTACTTACAAAATTCATCATGTAGTTGTCGAGTTTAAGACATTAGTTGTATTCCTTACAAGCATGCATTGGCCGTGGTAATCCATAGGTGAAAACGAATTGAAGGTTATTTCAACAAATGTTGAAAAAGAGAGAAATATTTGGCATCCTATGTGTAAGTAAGGTGGTCAGGCTACATTCGAGGGTCTCCTTAAAGGTCGAAGGAAGACCGGTGTAGGTTTAGGGTTTGGGAATTAGGGCAAATGGAAGTGATAAGGGAGCAAGGGAGCAAGGTAGAAAGATTGAATGATTCAAATGATTGAGTGAATGAATCCTTTCGTTATAAGAGGACCCTCATTTATAAGGAGGGATCCCAAGGTCCCGAAAGGAAGGCATTTAAAGAATTTGATTCCCATTAGGAAAGGGAATATTAGATTGGTTGTTGGTCATTAAGGGACATTGCTAGGGTTTCACCATGTGTCTTATGAGATCTTCCCAAGGACTGAGTTTTTTTTCGTCCGAGGATTCTCATAATCCATGTATGCTACTTCCTCTCATGACCTACTTAACCGGTGTGGTAGTAGTGATGTTGTCCTCCAATAGGCGTGTTTCACTAAACCTGCATGGTGCATTCTCACACACGTGATCCTGAAGTTGCACGTGTAACCAATATTTAGCTTCAGTTCACAATATCACACAGTTTTGTGATGGCCTCGGGCTCTTCGTAGAACCGCGTGTATCCGAGGTTCATTGCAAAATTGTGCACATTCAAAGTTTATTGTAGAACCGCGCGCATTCAAATTTTATCATAGAACTGTGTATGTTTAGATTTCATCGTAGGTTCACATTTGCCAACGTTTACTCTGACTTGTGTCAAGTGCAAGTTTGTTGCGGACATTCGATGAGTCGTATGTTCAACGCAGTCCTTCGTTGAGTTATAAACTCATCGCAAGTAACCGATGAGTTATGTACTCATCGCAAGTGTCCATGTGGTACCAGTTTAGTTTCTTCTATACTTTGATGGTCTGAGTGAGCACTATGTACCTACGCTATGCACCAACATATCACCCTAAACCGGATACAAAATATTGGCCAGAAAGTTCTTGGGATCCCATTGAAACACCACATTTAAAGAGACAACCAAGAAGACCATGATCCACCAGAAGAAGGGCACTAGATGAGGAGCCATCATCAAGGAAACCTCCATTCTTACGTAGGAGAGTTAAATGTTCTAGATGTAATATATACAGACACAATGTTAGAGGTTGTCAAGGGCCAACACCAAGAAATAGAGGAAGTAGTTCTGGTTCTGGTTTGGCACAATCACGACAACAATCACATAATTTGCAGGTCCTATTAATATACCATTAGTTAGATGCATTAATTTTACTTTCAACTGATTATTTTCCTCATAGATAATTGAGTATTTATTGACAGGTGAAAAGAATAAATAATGGTGAGAAAGGGTCCAACAGAGCCACGAGGCCCCCAACTCAACATAAAGTTGTAGGACAACATCAAGTTGTAGAGCCAGATCCAATGTATTTCAGATCCGTGAGGCCCCAGGTTCACCAACAAGTTGACAATCTACAAGGATAGGAGTAGCCAAGCAGTCAAACAATACACTGTTCACAACCATGTTGAATCATTTCTTGTTTGGACTGATAAAGGAACAACATGTTAACACTAGTTTAACTGAATTGAGAAAGAGCCACAATATGAATCATTTTGTGTATTTTTTTGTTAGGTATTACTAAATTTTTTAGAGGTACAAAACAAATCATTTTTTGAAAACACAAACTCACATACATTGGTGACACAGTAGTTTGGACATGATACATGATATTTCTTGTCTAAGAGAAATCATTTTGGGATTTTATAGTTGTTCATTCAGAATTTTATGAACTTTCAGTGTTAGATCCGATGATCCAAGTCTGAGAAGGGACCCTACAAACAATTCAATTAATGTGATGACCCATAGCATAAGAATACATTGTTGGTTATCACTGATTTTTTTTTTTTTGACATTTGTGATAATAAAATTTATAATTAGTTGGTATTTAAGTCAACATTTAACTTGGCAATACCATTTGATGAGCTTCGGAATAAACTACAAATGTTCAATTACATAACCACTAGACTTGTTCGCTTCTTTGCTTTTAAACCTTCCTCTATTTTTAAACCACTGGACAATACTTCAAGGACTTCTCTATTCAGTTGCGTGAACCTAGGCTAATTCCAACAAATGAGTTACTAAGATCATGATAGTTTTTTTTTTCTTTTTTGATGGATAAACTATCATTCAAATTAACTAACATCAAACAAAATTGTATATGAACTGCTTAGAAGCCAAGTCGGAATAAATGAACAAACTTCCTTATTAGAATTAGAGATTTGAAATATTGAGTTATTCTATGGGTGGCAAGTCTACACCATATTTTCATATCAAGACTACAACTTACATTCCAGATCATGGAGCCAAAATATTTCCACATAGGGTGTTCAACAAAGTATTTCTGTATGTCATGTACTTGTGATGATAGAAAGTCTATTAGATTTGGCATTAATTTGGGTAGTTTATTCCTATTCAAGTATCTTCATAACAAGGTGCGTGTTTCCTATATTATACAGTAGCTTTTGCTTTCTACGTTATGATACTATCCCGTATAAAGCATATATTTGAAGAATGCATGATAGAATTGCTTTTCAAAGTAGTAATATCATTCATTCGTCAGTTCAGTTCAGTCGATTTGAATACATTTCCCTCAAAAATCCCAAAAAGATGAGTGGATTCAACTAAACTCTACCATAAAACCAAATACGTTTCATTCTCATCATTTCATGAGCATCATTTAGAAAACCAAAACTAAATGTTTGATTACATATCCATAAACCAAGACTCTCTTAGACTTGTAACACTAGAGAACCTTGAAGATGACCCAAATGACAATAAAGAAAATAGCCACCACTGCCATACTACTTGTTGGTTTGCGTGATGAATTTTGTCCATCCACCTTTGCACCCAAGTCAGCCAACACTCCTTTCATCTCATATAACTGAGCCACTATTTCTTCCTTCCTCATGGCCTTCAATTTTATATTGGTTACCTCTTCCCTACTCAACCATTGGATAATTGTCTTAGTCATCATCTTCATCAGAAGGGTTGGACCATGAAAAAAATTAAACTTTTTTTAGTTTGAACCTGTCTATTTGAAGAATAAAATAAACATATAAGTAAATCATAGCTTCACAAATCAAGAAGGAAAATAAAAATCAATTACACCTATCAATCGTCTAGCACAAAAGAAGTATAGCCTATGAGGGTTGTCTACTGACTCGGAGGCTCGTATTGTAGCTTTTCGACCGCATTTGCATATTTTATTCTTGTATTTGAGGTAGGAACCTCTAGATGTCGAAGACTGCATTGACATCGCATCCAACACGACAAGCATTTTGAGCAACTACAAAAAAGAAGTGAAAACTTATTAGACCAAAGTTTGCAAAATTTTCATTTGCGATCTGATTTGATCTGTGACAATAGTACTTGAATTTAATTCAACAAATTAAATGCTCCATGCTTCTTTCGTGGAGAACCACAAACTTATTTCAGTTCCATTAATGCTGCTATATAAAAGGAAACACAAAGAGCAATCTCTAAAATCATTTGCAATGATCAATGAAGCAATATGTAAAAGAAAAAAACACAAAGATATTCTAGAACAGACTTATTTAAGACTTGGTTGCATAGGCACTTTTTCATACTAGCAACAATGATCAATGAAGCTATTAAATGGAATGCTATAACATCGTTTGCAATCAGTGATGTGCTCATTAGGCTTGTTCATAACAAAATTCAAACCGACCAAACTGACTAACCCGATCTGACCCAACCCGAGTCGACCGATTTTTCTTCACCACCGGTCAGTTTCAGGTTGCAAAGATAGGTAAGCCAACGGTTCAGTTCGGTTTGGTTTTCATGTGTAAAAACCAAAACTGAACCAAATCGAATCGAGTTATATAACTACTTATTACTTATTAGTTATTGCTTAACTATGTTGTCTCTATCCTAGTTACAACCTAACTTAGTTTCTAGTCTTCTATTTAGGATTGCCATTAATGGCAAGCATTACAAGGCAAGGAATCCCTAGTCCTACTCCCTACACCTTTACTCCTTTAGAAATATTAGCTTGATACTTTCTTGCATTTTTTGGAAAGGTTTAAAGAAAGTATCCCTACTCTCTAAGGTCCTTTACACCAAATAGACAATGACAAATAGGTGTCCTTTTTTTCTTCTTTCTCTTTGACTCTTCTTTTCTTGGTAACTTAATCCACCCTAAACTCAAGCACTCTCATTCTCTCAACTCTTAAGAATCAAAATTTTCAATTTTCAAATTTCAAGGAACCAGCCACAAGCAAGAAGGGACAAGGCCAAGAGATACTTTGAATATCACAAAACCGACCCAAACCAACTCAAACCGACCAGGTCGGTTTTTCTTAGTATAGGGTCGGTTTCGGTTTCATCTTTAGGTAACCTGACCGGGTCGGGTTGGTTGGAAAAACACCAGTAAACTGACCCAACCCGACCGGTGGACAGCCCTAGTGCTCATGATTGATCTCCTTTAAGTTTTATTTCATCCTAGGTATACAGATCATTGGCTTTCATTTAGGTTCTAACAAACTTCCTATGAATAATCTGAATTGTAAATTTGTTACCAAACATTATTATCTGCACTCATTACTTGGAGGATGTGTTTATCACCACCCAATTATATTTATATATGTGGCCAATTGAAGATGGCTAATTATCTACAATCTTCACTACAAAGACTAATGATTAGCGCAATCATATGGGGTTGTCAAATAAAAAAGAGTGGATTTCGCATTAAACTAATAACCCATAGAGGAGAAGATTAATGAATCAATAATGTACTTTCAATTGTGTGGATATATTCAGCCTAATTTCGTGTGGGACACTTCTGCAGGTTAGGATTAGACTGTCCAATGGAGAATGAAGGGCAACATCTGAGGCTTTATTTCAGCCCATATGATAATATTATGTGACTACTGTCTTTCAGTAGTCAGGCCTGTTCCAATAATTTCAATACCATACATTTCAATTTTCAAGCCATGAAAGAGTAGATATTATATTAGAGATTGGACTTATTAATGCATGTTGATGTGAGTCTTTATAATAAGGGCTATGAAGCTTGGTAATTTTAGTAAATTACTCACTCAAACATTGATTTAACATTTGGTTAGCTTCACTTAGAAACAATGGAATCTAGAGATCATAGGACTCTTGTTAGCTGAAAAAACAGAGTCTGTAAAAGTGAACCGTCTACAAAAAAGAGAAGCCAAAGATAACAATGAACTATCTCTACCTACTGGTAAAACCCTAGAGAATTAAAATGAAGAGGGATATAGGGTAAAACCACTTGGCCGAAATCATTATTCCTGGCTTCATCGTTCCTCTCCAATGGGACCGAAATCGTTCTTCCTGGGTTTGTTGTTCCTCTCCAATGGGGCTGAAATCGTTCTTCCTGGGTTCCTCGTTCCTCTGTTTGCTCCTCTCCAGTTGCCCCTCTTCTTGGTTCTTTCCTCTTCAATTGCTACTCTTCACCTGGCAAAAGCGGGCACAGGGTTTGCTATTCTTTCTAGCATCATTCTTGTTTGTTCCTCACCTATGCTCCTCTTTAGATTGCGCAAAAGATGAAACCAGGATAATAAAAGAGGGCAAAGGGTATTTTAGTAAAAATAGGTGTACAGTAACTCGTAAAGGGGTAAAATAGGTATTTTGAAAAAAATATCATTGGTTTAACGTTTTCTGTCTTTGTCATTGACAGAAGGGGGGTTTTATGTCAATGTTTTTTTTAAATAAAAGGGACATTTTTGCTAAAGTAAAACTATAAGGAAGGTTTTATGATTGTCAAAAACTTCATGGGAAGTTTTTGTATTTTACCCTTTATATAAGGTATATATAATGTACTAGCGGAAGAGCACGTGCTGTGCACATCTACATAAGCTTAAATATATATATGGATATATATTGTATGCATTCTAGCTACGTTTAAGTCGTGTGGCCAGTTTGTGATGTAAAAAAGTTAAACATTTTTTTTCGTCAAAATAAAATCTATAAAATATTTTCATATTTAGAAAGTATATTGATTATTAAACACTGAATCGATAATCAATCCCAACGTGAGGATTGTTAAAGTCGAAAACTTAGGAGAATTCAAATTCAAATTCAAATTTGAGGTCTTCAAATCCAATCATATTTCGAAAAGTTGAAGAATAATTAATTTTTTAATTTTTTATATTTAAAAATTTGAAGCGGAGTCTGACTAAAACTGAATCCAATAAAAATCAAATTTGACTCCAAGGTCTTTAAGTCCAATTGGATTCATGATCGGATTTAGATGCTCTGATTTGACACCCATTCTGGTTACATTGGATTCAGATGATGTATTTATGTAATTGGATTGGATTCGAATTTGACTCCATCCAATCCAATTAAAATTTGAATCCGATTATATATAACATTTATTGATATGAATATATAAAATTTATATAGTTATGCTTAAAATTATAAAAATTATATTTATTTATCTAAAAATATATTTAAAAAATTAAAGCATAGAAATCCGAATCTGATCCAAGTTCATTAGGATTCAATTTGAATCCGAGGTCTTCAATTTCAATAGGATTTTAGAAAGTTGAAAAGCATTTAATAATTTAATTTTTTGTATTTTTAAAAATTAAGTGAAGTTGGACTAAATCAGAATATGATTTAAGTCCATTCGGATTTGAATTCAAACTTTAGGTCTTTAAATCCAATCAGATTTCAGAAAGTTGAAAATCAATTTTTTTTTTTGTATTTTAAAAAATTGAAGCAAGACCAGATTAAATTTAAATCCAATCCGTATCCGTTAGGATTCACATTCAAATCCAATCCGAATCCATTAGGATTCACATTCAATGATCATTGACGAAAAACTTTTTACCTTTTTTTGTATTTTCAAAAATTAAAGTTGATTTGGATTAAATCCAAACCCGATCTAAATTCGCTATGATTTGAATTCGAATCCGAAGTCTTCAAATCCAATCAGATTTTAGAAAGTTGAAAAGTAATTATGTTTTTTTTGTATTTTTAATAATTAAAGTGGAATTGGATTAAATCTGAATCAGATCCAAATCCGTTAAGGATTTGCATTCGAATTTTAGGTCTTCAAATCCAATTGAATTTCTGAAAGTTGAAAACTTATTAACTTTTTAAGTTTTTGTATATTTGAAAAATTTAAAACAGAGTCGCATTAAATCTAAATCCCATCTGAATCCATTAGGATTTGAATTCAAATCAAATAATTGGATCAAATTCAGAATTTTGTGAATTCATTTTTCCTTAATAATAAATTTTACTAAAGCAAAAATTGTTACCTCTTTATATTTTCTTTCATTCAATTCTACATTTTTTTTTTGGTTTTATTCAGTTGAAAGCAGCCGTCTAGTTTGTTTTTAATGAATAAATACTCACTCTACAAGTGTCGATTTTGAAATAAGATTGGCTCTAAATTGAAGTTTATTCCTCCTTTTAAGAGGAAGCAATTTCTAAGCAATGGAACTGCTATCCTTCTACCACCATGATCCGCAATATCACGTTGATAGATTGAAGTGGAGTTTACCACAAGCTTGAATTTGAATAGATGAAAGTTCTTTTTTGATAGGAAAATTCGACGTAGACATGTTGGAGTTAATTCGAAAGTAGATTATTTCATCTAGGGGTGGATTCGAGCCGAGCCGAGCCAAATAATACGAGGCTCATCGGCTCACCAAGGTAATACAAGGCTTGAGATCAAGCTCAAGCTCAGTTCGAGCTAGAACCTTGAGCTCAAGCTCGGTTCGAGCTAGAACCTTGAGCTCGAGCTCTATTCAAGTCAAAAACTCGTAAGTTCAAGCTCGACTTGAGAAAAAATGTTTTATAAAAATAAATATATATATATAATATTTTTTTATTTGATATTTAAATTATTAAGAATTATAATAATTAGTTATTATTCTATATAAAAATAAAACATTATATATAATATTTTTATTATATATCTTATTTTCTATAATTTTATATATTATTATTATTATTATTATTGTGTATATATATATGTAGCTATTTTAGCTTGGCTCACGAGCCTCACGAGCTGAGCTATATTAGGCTCGAGATCGGCTCATTATTAAATAAGCCTGTAAATTGGGCTTGAATTTAGCTCAAAGCTTGGTTGAAACCGAGTTGAGCCAAGCTTTTAACGAGCTGAGCTTGAATAGCTCATGAAGAGCTCGGCTCGTGGCCACCCCTAACTTCAGTATAGTGGTAAATCCAACATCTTGAGCAAAAGTTGTAATTGCTATGTAGTTGATAGGAGAGAGGGTGGAAGAAGCTTTTCAGAAAGAGAAGAGGTTATAAAAAAGGTTTTAATTCTGGAAAGAGTAAGTAATAAAATGTGGTATTATTTAAATTCACAACAGGGTAATTTTGAAAATGAAAATTACATCATTGACGAAAGAAGAGAGCGTGAAACTCTCATTTTTATATAGTAGAATAGATATGGATATATGGAAGTAGATAGGAATAAAAAAAATGTGAAGAAAGAAACTTTCAGTCTTTCACCACCCAGTTTGAGAGGGAAAATATAGCAAACAAAAATTGGAAAAATTTGTTGTAGACCAAGCCCTAATTTGCGGCAGACACCATTAACAAGTAGAGACAATTCGATTATAGTTTTCACTAGCAATAGCTATAGAATTATCAAAGACGGTAAATGGAAGAGTTATAGCAATAACAATCATGGAAATAGGAGACTATAATGCCTTATGATCTCCCAAAAATAATAAAAATAATTTTTATTATTTTTAGGCAAAATTATAAAAAATTCTCATATAACAATTCTATAAATCAACTTTGTTTTTTGACCACAACAATGGCCTCTCATATAGTTTTGAGAAAAAAACTGCAAATACCTCCTTTCCCTTGGTTTTTCAATAACAAAGACATTGAAGATACCAAAATACCCTTATTATTATTAATGCATTATCATATACAATTTAAAGTTTCAACTTTACCCTCCTCCACTAATTTATTTTTCCAAACAACTTTCAAAGAATAGTTGTCCTTACTTTTCTTGGACAAAGTAAGGCAAAATGGCTGAAGTTGAGTAAAATTAATGCATTACATCAACATTTTTTATTTGGAATTCTAACAAAAGAAAAGTATTTGAACCTTTTTTCAAAACAATAGGGGAGGTTTTTATTAAGGTCAAAACACTAGGGAGTTTTATAGGATTGTTCAAAAACCCAATGCGATTTTTATAATTTTCCTTGTTTTTAAATGGAATTTAAATTAATTTCAAGATAATCAAACTATATTTAGAGTTAATATTTTTATTAATTATTGAAATTAGTAAAAAATGAATTTAATTAAGTTTTATTAAATTTAAATTCCTTATGAAATTTAATTAACTATATAATTTTTTATTTTTTATTTGAACTGGAGTTGGTTTTAAATTAGTAAAATATAATTATAAAATTAATAATTGTTAGATAATTTTGTAGTAGTTTTATATTAATTTTAAATTAATATTATTTTCTAATTTATCTTATTCCTTTGATTAATTAAATTATTTTTATTATATTAATAAAATATTTTTATCAATAACAATAATTAATAATTATTTTTATTTTATTTAAGTAACTTACTAAATTATTTTTATTATGGTTAATAATTTTTTATTACTTTTAAATGGATTATAATTTTAAATGGAAATAGATTATTTAGCATGGTAATATATCATTGAATATCTCAATTTCAATATAATTAATCATTACTAATAATTGCAATTAATGAAAATATATCTAATATATATAATCTATATCTATATATTAAAATGTAATGTGCCAAGCTGGCACATTCCTACTTTATGGTTTATTTTGAAAGCCGCTTATCTTTTATATGGAAATTGAGATATTCAAGGATATATTATTGCATTAAATAATCTACTTCCACTTAAAATTATAATCCATTTACATTCCTTTAGAAAATAATAAAAATAATTTAGTAAGTTACTTAAATAAAATAAAATAATTATTAATTATTTTCATTGATAAAAATATTTTTATTAATATAATAATAAGAATTTAATTAAAAGAAAGAATAAGATAAATTAAAAAAAATATCAATTTAAAATTAATATAAAAATAATACGAAATTGTCTAATAATTATTAGTTTTATAATTGAATTTTATTAATTTAAAAGCAACTTGAGTTCCACTAGAAAATAAAAATTTATATAGTTAACTAAATTTCATAAGGAATTTAAATTTAATAAAACTGAATATACTTAATTAATTTTAATTTTTACTAATTTCAAATTTTAATAAAAATATTAGTTTTAAACATAGTTTAATTATTTTTAAATTTATTTAAATTTCATTTAAAAATAAAGAAAATTATAAAAACCTCCTTGGGTTTTCTAACAATCGTATGAAACTCCCTAGTGTTTTGACCTTAACAAAAACCTACTCTATTGTTTTGAGAAAGGGTGCAAATACCTTGCTTTAAAGTCAACACCCGATTTTTGCTCGTCCACCGTCTGAACCCCTAACTTACCCAGAATAGTCGATCAAACCCTTTCGGTCACTCTAA